AAACAGCCGATAAGTTCCCTGTAAGGTTTCGTGGTAAACTGCTTAGCATCTTTCCCTTTCTCGAGCTTCAGATGTGGCTCCATCGGAATCGCTGACGATTTACAGTTGGTCATTCCAAATCGTTCAAGGATACTGGCTACGTACACTTTTTGCTTAATTACCATGATACCCTTGTTTCGATCACGGAGAATGTTCAGGCCGAGAAAGCTTCTTACTTCTTGTAGATCTCGCATCTCAAATTCAGCAGACAGCTTCCGCTTCAGCCCACGAATCGCCTTTTCAGAGTTCCCAATGATAAGTATATCATCTACGTATATCACTACGTATAGCACTACGCCATTTACCGACCAAAAGTACAAAAAAAAAAGTCATGTTCACTTCTCTTGAACTGCATATTGCTCATAAATTCGTGAAAACGCTCGTTCCACTTCGTTATCGATCACTCTTCTTCCTTTGGGTAGCTCAACCAAGCTCCAGTTTGCATTATTCTCCAAAGACTCGAGTTCTTCTTCAATAGCCTTTTTCCACATCGGCCAATCACTACGCGTTTTCAAGACTTCCACATCGGATGGTATACCATAGGATATATCCTCCACGAATTTTTCAGCACTGAGCGCAAACGCCGTAATGTCAACTTCGTAATCGTTATGCCATGACGGTGGAACAACCACCCGATGGCTTCTTCGAACACCACTGATTCCCGCGGGATTATCGTCTTGTTCACCATTTTCTTCTGCCGAACCAAAAGGTTCGGTTTCACTACCGGATTCTGAAGAAACATCCGACGATTCATCCGGTTCAACTGGAACACGAACACTTCGTGGCCGATCTATGATCACTACCGTTTCAGCAAGCTTTTCTTCCACCTGTGGTTCTACGAAATTGCACTCGTTGAAAATAATGTCACGCGAAACAAACACTTTCTTCCCGTTCCTGCATCGATAACCGTTCGGCGCGTACCCGACAAAAATCACCTTCTGACTTTTTGTATCCAGTTTCTTCCGCAACGGTTTCGGGACATGCACAAAAAAATGTGATGTTTCCATTACCCGCGACACTCGGGCTCCGATTCATGAGGTAAACCGCGGTATACACTGCCTCACCCCACAAGGTCTTCTGTAAACCACTCGTGGCCAGCATAGCACGCACTTTTTCCACTATCGTACGGTTTAGTCTTTCACTAACACCGTTTTGTTCGGGTGTATACAGCACTGTGTATTCAAAACGAATACCTTTTTGTTTACAAAATCTCTTCACTGTATTCACCACCGTTATCACAACGGAGACGAGCGATTTTCGTCCCGAAGTGAGCGCCCAACAAACAATTTTAGCTGTAGATCAGCTTATACAGACAAAAATTAGCTGCATAAGGCAATTTTCGGTTGTATAAGCTAGTCTGCAGCTAAAATTGTTAGTTGGGCGGTGGCTACCGCTTCGAATTCCATCAATTTATCTAGCACTTCGTCCTTGGACTTCATCAAGAACACAACCGACACATGTGTGAAGTCGTCCGTCACAAAATATTCGTTCCCGTCCCACGACACTGGTGTGACAGGACCGCAAACATCACTGTGAACGATTTCTAGAGGCCTGCCAGTACGCTTTTCCGTTCGAGTATGAAACGGTTCTCGCGTCTGTTTCGCACCAATACACGGTTCACACAAAACTTCAAGGAATCTTCACAAGCACCTTCAACCGACATACCTTCGACCATATTATTCTTCACGAGCTTCAACAAATTATCGTTTCCGAGATGGCCGAATCTGTGGTGCCACAGTTCCATCTTTTTGCTCACTTTTCCCGTCACTAGCGCACTTCCGTTCTTACCTTTGCAAACGAGATTCATACAGTACAGCCGTCCCAGCTGCTTTCCGGTGGCCACAACTTCACCGTTGTCCTCGACGGTCACGCACCCACCGAAGAAAATGACTCTTTTTCCGGTATTTTCCAACCGTCGCAGCGACAGGAGGTTCAAAGACAGCTTCGGAATAAACAAGACGTCTTCCATATTCACTGGAATCTTCTCATCGTTTACGATAGCACTAGCTACGACACGTCCCTTATAGTGAGCGAGCAAATTAACACCAAACTTCGCCGTCTGAATGATCACTGGCTGGTCTAACTTTCCCAAACTCCCGAACAATGATTTATCGTTCGCCATATGTTCGGAGGCTCCACTATCCAAAAACCATTTGACATCCACCACTCTACCAGCTGCTGCTGTTTCGGGTCCAATGTCAGCAGCCACAAACGACACCGTTTTCGCACTGACATTCGCTTTCTGAACCACATTCTTCTTACCGGACTTCTGGCCACTGTTTTTATTTTCACCGGATTTCGGACACTGGGCCTTCTTATTGCCAAATTCCCTACAAGCAAAGCACTTCAATCTTCCTTTTTCCCGCGAACGCTGCTTCCTCCGTATTCGTTTCATGCCGCTGGCCTTTTCGCTTGGCTTCCACGTCGAGATACTTACGTCGCACTAAATCCATGGTCAGCTTCTCCGACATCGCTTCCACTGCGGTCGTAACGGCATCATACGATTCAGGCATTGTCAGCATAAGATGGCAGATAACGTCTTCTTCTTCCATCTTTGCTCCAGCTCCCTTAATCTCGCGTACCAGCTGATCAAAATGCAGGAAATGCTCCTGCAACCGATCGTTTTCGCAGAACCTCATAGCTAGCAACTGACGTTTGAGCAAAAAGCGATTGGTGATACTTTTTCGCTCGAACACATCATGCAAACCATCCCATATCTGTTTGGGACTCTCTTTGTCCTTGACATATTCGAGGTGACTGTCCACTACTGCCTGAATCAATACAGAACGACATTTATTGTCCTGTTTGATACGCACAGCCTTTCTTGCTTCGTTTGCCGCTTGCACCTCAGCCGTTGCACCAGCCGGACTCTGCCAAAAAATCTTCTTCTTCAGCCGCCTTCTCTACACAATGCAGCACCTCCAGCTGCTGAAGGTACACACGCATCCGGAAGCTCCAATTGTTGAAGCCTGTTCCGTCGAAAGGCCTGAATCTGATGATTTTTGCGTCATCGTCCATCGCGCACTACCGACCGATTTCTTTTGTGGTTCCAAAACGAAAAAATCTAACACTCGGTTATACCAACAATCAATACGAAACTAACGATTTTAAATTGGCTCACCACTTTAGTAGCCTATTGGTCCCAAGCAAACGATTAACGTACCCTATTCTAGTTGAAATTCTATTACTACACTATGTTTGTTTTGATTCGCTATGAAAGTTTGACAGAAAACATCAGGGGTGTGTGGATTCATGCAGAACATGCAGGGGTGAGTGAAATAGCTTGGGACTGCTTGGGACCGTTGTTCTGGTACTGAGTGAGCCAAAAATAATAATGATTTTCTTCGGGACCCAGTGGTCTTAGAGTTACCTCTATGGTTATACTGGGCCCATAACCTTTTAATATTGAGCCAGTTTCGGACAGAGAATAAACTAAACACGTGTGTTGCGTAGCAAAAGAAAGACAAGAGAGAATTTTATTCTGACGTTTAGTGATACACGGTGATTAGAAACTAGGTGATTATCAATTGCACTTTACTCAAATTACACTTTTAACAGATTCCGGGTCACCCCGTTGCACAATTACAATGTTGCTGACCCACTCGGTGTGACTGGTCAACTTCATGGTCGACTTCACGATCAATTCCTATTCCTTCTTTAATTTTCTTCTCTTGGTGATTGTAACACGACGAGGAGGCTGGATTGAGGGTGGAACGGAATGGTCCACCTCCAACGATACTTGTCCATCAAATTTTCCGTATCCAGAAAAAAACCTATGTGATCCTCGATAATCTTCTCAACTTCGATTCTGTGAACATTCGACAAGTTTGGCGATTTTGCTTCATCAGACTTACCGAACGTAACCAATTTGCATAATTTGACAAATCCCAGCACACTCACTACACTAGCTTGCATATTCTGTGATATCAGCGAAAAATATGGTAATTTAAAAAGAGGAACTGTAACTTGACGGACGATTGAATTTCGGGATGGGACTGATATGCGATTACATTGCTTGATGGTACAAACTGACTTGATGTTGTTTTCACATTTTTCATTATAAAAGTCGATGGTTTTATCACATAATATGAAAGTAGATGCCAATCAATAGTGGATAGCGTTGTTATCTCAATATTTACGAAAATCCATTTGGGACAGATATGCAATTATAGACAGTTTAGCAGTTCTAAGGAGATGTATTGAGTTCTTTAACTAAACATAAATGTTTGGTAAATCAATGGAATTGTATTTAATGCAAATTATAATTATAATGAATTTATAACAACTTGAATTAGTATACGCGTCGCATATTTTACGCGGAAAACAAATGTTACGATTATAAAAAAAACTAATGTCTTATGTTACTGATACATAATAATAATAATAATCTAACCCCAGCTTAAGATAATGCAATAAGATTCATATTTTAGCAAAACAGTTTCAGTCGTCATACCAATTTTTTTCTCCAATAAGAAAATAACAGCTAAACGCGACCCAACTCGTTGCACACAATCGCAGCTGATCCCGCATACAATCAAGTAAGAAATGCAACTCGGTCAAAATAAAAATAAAGCTCACCATTATTCCTAGCTTACCCATACCTCGTTCAAAGAATCATGTTCACGGGAGCCCAACATAGCAGCATAAACTGTTGCGTTCAAGAAGTAGGCGAAGGGTTTGCGCGACCGTCAACGACGACGACGGCATGGTACTCACACCTACTGCCTCTATATTTACATACATATACAGTTATAGCAGGGCAGTTTGAGGAGGGGTGCGTCCATTTAAAAAATCACATCTCGCACCAACATGTGCGTGCATTTTGGCATCATCATGCAATGGATGCAGTCGGTGCATGTAAACTACTTTCCTCATTCACAATGATCGCGCAGTGTGTGTGTGTGTGTGTGCGTGTGCCATATGGGATGTGTAGGTGGTTGTGATCTCCATCAAAACAAGTGAATGATCACCGTGAGTGAGATGAGAAGGGATTCTGCTTCATTCATGCGATCTGCGTTCTGTTGATGCTCGAACCCACCGAGGTGCGCTGGACAAGTGAATCACAGTGGGTTTTCGGAGGTAGACGTTTGTAGGTAATGTAGGCAAAGTGAGTACGGTGTGAATGAGAAATAAATCTCGCCATCTTGATTTTTTGTACACTTTCCAGTACGGTAGTCGTTGAGCAGCAGTCAGTGTCAGTGGTTGTGTAGAAGGTTCGAAGAAGTCAATTAAAATTAGGGTAGATGTGTTAGCTGATTTGCTGATTGCTGCTAGTTTGGAGCCATTTTTCTGGTTCAATAAGGCTTGAAAGTGCAAATTTTATGCGCGAAATATGATAATTGTTTGGAGAGAGGTACGGTGCAAGTGTTTCGATGGTGGTTTAAGCTGTGGATCGTGCTCAGTGTCGATGATGTTAACAACAAGTGGGCTCGTGGGCTATTTAGCCGAAGCGGAGGGTGGTTATTAAATGGTGGATTTGAGGCTTTTAATTGCCCAGTGTTAATCGCACTCATAAGTGCTCTCGTTTTGTTCGTGTTGTTCTCTTCTGCTTCCTTCGTCCGTGTTTGGCGAGATACATATTATTGGGAGGTTGAATGAACTCGGTGCAATCTGCCGGAGAGGAGGAACGATATATTCTAATATTGAACATCCTGTGTCGAAAACAAGATCCAATTTCTTCGGGAGTAAATTGTTGAAGCGCGCTATGGCGAAAACGGACTCTGAGCTGTACGCGATCGTCTAGTGGTGGAGCGCCCCGTGGCAGCAGCAGCAGCAGTGTAGGCAGTAGAAAGAGCATAAGTCGTGTGCCATAAATTTAGTTAAGATATAGTTAATCACGGCCGAAAGTAGGTTGACGGAATGACGAATTCTGGTCATGCGGTCGTAGTTTGGGAGTTTGAATCTCGGGGAGCCAAATGGCTGCCTTACAGTCCAGCCGTCTCGCAACACTTGGAACGTGCCCACGGGAAAAAGTTGACCCGTGTTCTGCTGAGCGATGCAGATCCTTCCCTGGAGCAATACTACGTCAATGTTCGGACTATGACCCAGTGCTGCGAGGAACAAGAGTTCGCCGTGACCAATGTCCGAAGACATTTCTACAAGCCAAGCTCTCCGGCTGGCAAAGGAACCAAATGGGAGTGGTGTGGATCATCCGGAAACGACTGGCACAGCTACACCATGGAAGTCCAATGCGTAGTAGAAGAAGCTTGGGCGCGAGGTGATCAAACGATAGATCTAACCAAAACATTCCTTACTCTACCCTATACGATAAACTTCTTAAATCTCACGCAAATTCGCCATCAAAATGGACCGCTCCGAAGTATACGAAGGATACAGCAGGCTCCATATCCTCTGGTAAAGCTACCAAATCTACAGACAATTGCAACCCCTCAGCCCTCTTTGGTTGCTCCAAGTCTTCCCCCAAAACCAAATCAAGTGGCCTCGAGTGTGAGCTCTTGCTCGTCCACATCCAGTTCGCAGCAATCCACTACGCAGCTTCATTCGAAATCAAAATCTCAGCCAGTGTTATGTGCCAACCAGCAGAAGCGGCCCACCAAAACTCTCAAAGTTAGCAAACAAATCGACATGGTTCCAGTCACACCAACCAATCTGGCTCGCCAAATATTGCACAATCTGAACATATTTGGAACTAAGCATTCCCAGCATCAAGAGCTACCCGACTATCCTCAACATAATGGTCCATCCAGCTCCACCCAGCCACATCACCATCAGCAGCAATTCCAATCAAACTCCCATCAACAATCAATCCGGAGTCATCCGAACAGTCGTTCGATGGGATTCCAAAGACAACGGAGCAAATCCCGTAGCCGAGGAGAATCGTTGATCGAAACCGATTCGTCCAGCATCAATTCAGGTCGGAGACCGAGCGTGGATACGGTTTCCACCTACCTCAGCCAGGAGAGCAAGGACAGCACTGGCCGGAAGAGTAACAATCTTGGCTCGGTTTCCGATCTGCTGGACTGCTCGATGGGAAGTGACGACGTGTTTACGTCCGCATCGTCGCAGCAAAACATTCCCGGAGCGATTGTCGGTAAGATTGACCGGGCATGTTTTAGGCGACCTGTATTGTACTACAAACTGCTTCAATTTCCAGGGGTGGATCCGGCTAGTGATATGATTTCGCGATTCGTGCGGGTGGTTGAGCCACCCCAATGGCCACATGCCCAGCCCTGTCCGATGTGCATGGAGGAATTACGACACAACAACCACAATCCGACGGTTTCGCTGTCGCGCTGTCAGCATCTGATGCATCTGAATTGTTTGAACGAACTGATTCTGGGGCAGCAGAAGGAAAATCAGAAGGTAGGGAAGTGGTATTTGGTAGGAAGGACTTGATGATTCATGGACATTTTTCAGAGCTTATACATCGAATGCCCGATTTGTATGTCGGTTTATGGCGAAAAGATCGGTGATCAACCACCGGGAACCATGTCATGGATCGTCATACCGAGAAGTCTTCCCGGTCACGAGGGCCAAAACACCATTCAAATTACGTACAAGTAAGCTTGCTTTTTCCTTATCTCCCTCCCTCAAACTGCGATAACGAACACCCGTTGCACTTGCAGCATTGCATCCGGCATCCAGAACCAGGAACATCCTCATCCAGGAAGGGCCTTCTTTGCCGTTGGATTCCCACGGACCTGCTTCCTGCCGGATGGGATTTTGGGGCGTAAGATATTGCGCTACCTGAAGATCGCCTTCGATCGGCGGTTGTTGTTTTCGATTGGCCGTTCGGCAACCACCGGCCGGGAGGATGTGGTCCTCTGGAACAGCGTCGAACACAAGACGCAGTATTCGATGTTTCCGGATCCGCAGTACATGCAGCGGTGTATGCAGCAGTTGGTGCACCTCGGCGTGACCGATTGATGCCGTTGGGGTGAGAAGTTTTTACGGTTGTTTTATCATTTACTTCTTGTTTTTGCTATTAATCAAACGTACTGAAGTGACAAGACTGTGTGTTTGTGCGTGTGTTTTTTGGTGGAATGATCAGATGCAGCTATTGTTTTTTTTTTTTTTTTTTTTTGTGCAGATATTTTCTAACGGATTGTGATTTTTTGTTTTATCAAGCTATGAGATTTGGATATCTTTATTGTGAAACAGGGTTACTTCCACTCACTTGCTGTAAAAAAATGTTTTTCAGAATTATGAAATCATGAGATGGTATAGTGATAATTAGAACTTGTAAGTTACAAGATGAGGACGTGAAGTATGTGTTTGACACATAAAATCTGTCAATATTGCTTTCAGTGCGTCACAATAAGCGATTTTACGACTCGTGAGTGCTCACTCTGAGTGAACGCTCACGAATCATAAGATCGCTTATTGTGACGTTCTGAAATCAAAATTGACAGGTTTTATGAGTCAAACACATTCTTTAAACCCTATTCTCGGTACTTACAAGTTCAACATATCATTTTATCATCAAATGATTGCATAATTCCGAAAAATATGTTTTTATAGCAAGTGAGTGGAAGCAACCCTGTAATGTGAATGTCTTTCCTTGGCTGATTTTCTACAGTATTTTTTAAATTAGTATCAAATTAGGAAAATGTTGAAAACTTCATCGAAGATCTAGAGTAATTTGTAGGAGAACTTCAAAGTAGTTCTGACGAGAACTTAGTTCTGAGGAAAACTTCAGAGTAGTTCTGAGGAGAAGTTCAAAGTAATTCTGAGGAGAACTTCAGAATAGGTCTGAGGAGAAGTTCTGAGATTAGTACTGTTAACGACGCGATCGATTTACACGTGCGAAGGAACGCTATCGCTGCTAACAATTTATTTTATTTGTCGGGCGAAGGAGTACTCGACCAACTGCAAGTTGGAAACCTTGCTATTTTCAATTTTGAAATTCCCGCAGGACTCAAAGCTAGTTGCTCTAACCAGGGTGAGAGCCTATACTTATTGAGGGGAGAGAGTCTCAATCAATTGAAAATATAGCAAAGCAGCAGCAACCCTAGCCAGAGTGAGAGTTTCAGATGATTTTGCCTTGTTTGAAACCTTAACCTTGGACTGAAGAGCCAGATTAGTCTTGAGAGCCTGGAAACTAGTCTTAGCATCACTGATAGAATCCAAATTATTCCCTTTTAGGTTGAACAGTGCAACCAAGAAACTAACAACCGCTCCAAAGTTAGCCGGCCCATGGATGTTGATTTCATGATCCTTGCTGATATAAATTGTGGAACCAGCCTTGATCTTTTGTAGCCTGGAAACCATGGTCATCCGGATCTTCTCGACGTCGAAGCCCTTATATTCATAAGCCTTCTGGAACTCAGTGAGACTAGCAACAACAGTTTTGCTCAATTCTCCAGAGACCGCCTCATCTAACAGAACTGCCAAAGCGTTATCCCAACTCTCAGCAGACATGCTAACGGGTTTAACTGTTGAAGGTTCAGGCTTCAATAAGTCCTCAACCAATTGCTCTTGTGCTTTGAGTGAAGCAGCCAATCTCTCGTTTATTTCCTTGGCGTCTGTCTTCTGCCGTATGAGTTCCTGTTGATACTTCCTTAACAGAACAGGATCAAATCTCCACCGTTGGTAGCGGATTGATATCTTTGTAAGTCTGAAGTGGCTAAAGGATGAGTTGAAAGTTGCACTATCAACAACCCTAGCGAAACAATGACAAGTAAAATCTGGAGCTTCTTAAAGAGTTGCTCTTGTCGCACAGATGCATCTACTCTTTCTGAGTCTACTATCGTCGCGTTTTTGCATAAAGTTCTAATCAAAGTCTTTCAAAACCATTAATCTTCTTATGTTCTTATGTATACCGTCAACACTAGCGTGCACAGGAATCTTGTTAAGAAGGGGCAATTTTTTTTTCTATGGTGCTTTTGATCTGGAGATGGGGAGTACTCCAAAGTGCGTAGCTAATTTTATTTATATTAAGCAATTATAACGGAATTAAAATTAAATAAACCAACACACTCAAAGCTCTTCATAAAAGCATATTGCTGTTTTTGTCCTTGCACTTGGCTTGTACTCCAGCAGTGCTGCCAGCCATTGTGCTGGCACTGTCAAAACATACTGCCATCAACTGCTCCCAAAAAATCTGCATAGCTGTCTCAGCAATGGTATTGAAGGTTGTCGTCGCGTCTGTTTTCAACACCCACCCACGAATGTTTCCGTCGGTCGATCATTATCAATATATCTGATGGCAATCGCCAACTGCTCGTGGTGGCCACAATCGCTCGTCTCATCTGCAATGATTGCCACTAGTTTTCCTCACAAGGTTTTCGCAATGTTCCGCAATGTCATTTTGAATACGGTTATTTGGATATTGAATTTTCAGGACAGTTCCAAAATATTTCTGGGAAGAATTCCAAGAAAATTCTGCGGATAATTTCTAGTGCATCCTGCAGATAGTTTCAAAATAATTTCGAAAAGAATACCGAGAAAAACAAATTTTGAGTGAAATTCCAAAGGGATTTATAGCAAAATTTCAAGCGAATTCCGAGGATAATTTCTAGCTCATTCCGGGAAAAATTTCTGAAACTCTACAGGAATTTCAGTTCCAAGGTGTTCTGAGAAAAAAGCATGTAGAGTTCTAATACCCCTTACAGACTATGGCTTATATCATGTAATATAGACTGCCTTGCAATGAGCACTCATACATAGGATTTCCAGTGAAAACTAGATGTTTGTTTCCGTGTTCGGTAATTTTTACCAAAATCTGAACAGCTGAACTTTTCGGTAAAATTTATGCAATTCAATTCAATTGCTTTTCAGCTACTTTGAAACTAAATCTCCACTAAAATGACAAGATTTGATCATTTAAACAAGGTTGAACATGTTTTGATATTATTTTCAAATTCAATAGCCTTTAAATTGAAGGTCAAAGTTTTACCGAACGTTCAGCTGTTCTGATTTCGGTAAAATTTACCGAACACGGAAACTAACATCTAGTTTTCACTGGAAATCCTATGTATGAGTGCTCATTGCAAGGCAGTCTATATTACATGATATAAGCCATAGTCTGTACGGGGTATTAGAACTCTACATGCTTTTTTCTCAGAACACCTTGGAACTGAAATTCCTGTAGAGTTTCAGAAATTTTTCCCGGAATGAGCTAGAAATTATCCTCGGAATTCGCTTGAAATTTTGCTATAAATCCCTTTGGAATTTCACTCAAAATTTGTTTTTCTCGGTATTCTTTTCGAAATTATTTTGAAACTATCTGCAGGATGCACTAGAAATTATCCGCAGAATTTTCTTGGAATTTTTCCTAGAAATATTTTGGAACTGTCCTGAAAATTCAATATCCTTGAGGTTCTTCTCGGAATATTTTTGAACTTTTTTTTCTCAGATCACCTTGGAACTGAAATTCCCCTAAAGTTTCAGAAGAATTTCCTATGTATTCTCCAGAAATTCTTCCCATAATAAACTTGAAATTATACTCGGAATTCCCTTGAAATTTTCCTCAACATCCCTTTGGAATTTCATTCAAAATTTGATTCATTCGGTATTACTTTCGAAATTATCTTGGAACTATCTGCAGGATTCACTAGAAATAATTCGCCGAATTTTATGAAATCAGCCCCATAAATCTTTTCTTTTGGAACTGTCCCCAGAACTCAATACTCTTGAGGCTCTTTTCGGAAGTTAAGTTTAAGTTGTCCGTCCATTCAACAAAACGTTGTAGTTTTTCTACCAGAAAAACAAGCAATAAAGCTTGTCCCTCCATTCACCAGAACTGTGCAATTTTTACATCAGGAATTTTGAATTCAGCTTGCCCCTCCATGCTGCAGATTGTTGCAAATCTTACCCCATAAATTTTCAATACAAACTTGCCCCAGGTAATTTTACACCAGAAAATTTCAATTGACCAGAACGATGCAAATTTTCTACCATTGAACATTAAAATAAAAATTGCTTCTCCAATCCATTTTTTCCATTTTCCACAAGATATTTTCAATATAGATTGCTTCTCCTATCATGAGAATGTTGCAGGTTGTCCACCAAATAAAGCTTGCCTCTATTTTCTGATTTTCCATCATAAATTTTCAGCAAAGCAGCTTCCCTCCAATCATTCGTGGCTCTATTCAGCAGAAGGATGCAAATTTAATACCAAAAATTTTAAGAAAAGGTTTCCCATCCGTGCACCAGAACGGTGCAGATTTTCCACCAGAAATTTTCAATATAGCTTAATTTCAAATAAAGCTTGTGCCTTCATTTACCAGACCGGTGCAAGTTTTCCACCAGAAATTTTCTGTTCATTTTATTTATCAGAGCAATGCAAATTTTGCACCAAAATTTTTCAAAAAAGCATGCTCCTCCATTCACCAGAACGGTGCACCAAAAATTGTCAGTGAAGTTTGTTTCACCATGCACCTTTGTTGTGGTGTTAGAGATGAACTAGCCTAAGGCTAAAAATCTCTTAAATAAAGAATTAAAAAAAAAAAAACTTTGTTGTGGTGCAATTTTCAGGCTTTGCCTTTTCATGCACCAGAATGGTGCAAATTTTCCACCATAAATTTTCAATGAAGCTTGCAGTCATCAGAACGATGCAAATTATGCACCAGAAAAATGAATAAACCTTGCTTCTACATTCACCACAGTGTTGCGAATTTTCCACCAGAAATTTTTAGTTAAATTTTCACCTCAAAATTTTTGGCGTGATTCATTTTGATTATTTCCTCCATGCACCACCTTGATGATATGTTTACACCAGAAATATTTAATAAAAAGCATTTTCATCGATTTACCACCACGAAGGTGGATTTTATCAACCTTAAATTTACCCTCTTCTTTTAACCCTCCATGAACCAGCTTGAAAAAAAAATGACTCCAGAATTTTTTTGTATGCCATTGTGGTGCAAGTTTTTGACCAAAACATTTCATTAAAGTTTGCCCCTTCATGCACCTTTGTGGTGCAATTTTCAGGCACCATATCCAAGGAATTGACGCAATAAAAGGTTTTCAGTGCCCTTATATTATGAAATGAAGTTATTTTACCTTCCAATCAAGAAGAGATGAACCAGCCTCTGGCTGAAAGTCTCGCTAATAAAGATAACCTAACCTAACCTTCAGATCAAGTTATCAAGAAATCAAGTTATTTTATATCATAATTTTGTAAATGTGGAAATAATCTTATTTATAAAAGGTGGGGCAATTGCCCTACCCTGTGCACGCCAGTGCCCGTCAATGTGGATGTTTCAAGATGTGGAAGAACAACTATGTTATTTCCTTTTGAATTATAGGAACAGTTGTCTTATTAATAAAACAGATGTTCCGAAGGGAATCTACCAGTCTTAGTAAGACAACTGTTCCTATAATTCAAAAGGAAATAACATAGTAGTTCTTCCACTGAAACTTTCTTTGTGAATCTAGCAAGAATTTTTTGATAACTTCTTTAACTATGCGTACTGTTCTTTCCGCCTGCCCATTACTGGCAGGGTGATATGGTGGACTGTTGAGAACTATTATACCTTGCCTTTTCATAAAATCAACGAATTCCAACGCATTAAATGGTGGTCCTCCATCAGTTAAAAACACGTCAGGTTTAGGTAGCATCAGAAGTAAGACTCACTTTATTTCAGATATGAGGGTATCCATCTCTATAGAGAATGAGAATGTTCTCTTTTACTCATAGCTCTGAGCTTTGCTATAAACAGTGAACCGGTACACTACACCCCCTATCTAGACAGAGACTAACAATGTGCCAATAATATGTCAAATTGAGTAGAAAAAATAACAAAATTTAGAAATGTAGTATCGTAGCTAGAAAAAACGACACGGAGACATGTACTGTTACAGAATAGAAAATCTCTAAGAGGTTATGATCTATCATGTGTTTTATTATCTTTTAGATATAGTTTATCGATTGCAATCGTTTGCATTTTGTTAGGTTAAAACAATAAATTCCCTTCGACAGGCATCTTCCAATAAGATCTTCCAATTCCTGTAAATAGTCTGAGTAAGTTTAAGGTAGTGTTACTAACTGTAGCGAAATGATTCAACTTCTTCGCAAACGTAGAACTCATGTTCCTTCCGGTCTTTGAGCGTTAATGCGCGGAATCAAAATTTATAGTGGTATTGATAGATAAGTGAGAAGTTTATATTTTAAACATGGTAAACAATATTTGATTTTTTTTAAAATAAACTAAAGCATTCTGAAGTTCGTTATTGGTATGCAACGAAAGAAATTCCTTGTTCAAATCGGTGGAGGCTGTCATCAAACGAAATTTTTTTCGTAGTTTCAGGAACATTAAAGTTATATTTTTCTTTCATCAAGAGTAAAACTTTCTAACCTCTAAAACAACATACACAGTCTCATTTTGTCTACTTTTTTTTTCTTGATACAATTTCCTTGAACTAGGTTAAAGGTAACATCTAAGGGATGACAACTGCATTGTATTTCTAAGTTTCTTGTTTCGTTTCTAGTTTTACCAAGAACAGTTGAAACAAAACACCATGTTTGAGAGGCATTTGAATCCCAAACCGACAACTTCTCGCCGCTTCACAAACACTTGGATTGGTGGTTGATCCTCAAAGTTCGAGGGAAGATAGTAGATCACAGTCTATAATTTTGATTTGTTTTCTAGTTAAATTTAAACATTTTAACACTATCATGGTTCAATACCATTCTCTACTCCATCTACGGTCAAAGGGGAAAAGAAAGAAACGAATGTTATTTGGATTTCTCGCGTCCGGATGATGAATGCACAAAAGGGGCCCACACACCAGGAACTTTACAAATGTATGTACGTGTGCGTGTGTTCATGCATGCCTTTCCACAGACGTTTGTGTGTAGGTGTAAGTTTTGAATGGTCAACGAATAGATGGCGCTGCGAATCATTCTTCTTCTTAGGTGGATTTTTTCTGTTTCATACCGTTTTGGCTTTGCTTGGAGGAGGAGGATTTGGCAGTTTTGGCTGGGCCCGATTGCTCGATGACACTCAGTGCAATTCCAAACTGGGCCACATAGTACGTAACCATGATGGCAACCTGGGCATTGCGAATCGGGGTGTAGAACTTGTCGATCGCAATAATACTGTCGGATATCATGAACAGTATGCTACCAACTCCACAGGTCATTCGGAGGATGTTCTGGAATTGAAAAATTCGTGCGATTAATTTTGAAGTTTAAAACATACCTGAATTACGCCTACCTTGGCAGAATCGATCCTAGCCAGCGAACGCCAGCACATGGTTAGCAGCAGGATGCCATAGATTGGAAGACATATCTTGATGACGAGTGGCAGATTGTCGAACATGAAACCCACGGCTGTCGCACCCAAACCGTACAGGGGAAGAGCGAACCATGGTTTCACCGGGTGGAATCCAAACGCTGATATGTAGAAGATTTGTGCCACTCCGAAGCCGGCCATACCGGCTTCGAACAGGTCATAGTTGAGAAGGATGTCACCCGAGCAGGAGAATATCAACCCGATCAGGATGAGGTGCTTATAGCGGTGGCTGAAATTGCAAGAGAATTGCGTTAACTGACGTCACGGAAGTGGATGTTAAAGAGTTCCCCACCTTTTCTTCAGTTTGAACCCGGTTAGCAGGACAAAGATCCATAGACTTACGATGGGCAGACATTTTAGAATGGTAGACTCTATGGTGCTTCGTTCGGTGAGGCCAATCAGCGAAAAGTACAGGATGAAAGTGACGAAGAAGAGCAACATCCGAGGTGCAGCGACATTTGCCTGAAATGGGGAAAAATCTTTGTTAGTGAAAATAATTACCAACGAATAATCAGTAATCCCTCCCTGAGTCCACAGTCTTTTAACTAATTAAATTTCACAGTTGTATGGAGAGTCTTCACGAAAACATGTACCATGTCGAGCTTGTGTACAAAAATCCAAGCGAATGTTCGGCTTGAACATGCGTACAATCTTGTTCTCAGGAACATTTAACGCAATACACTCGGGTGTACCGGTGTTGTGCCCAAGTGTATGCGCAGATGTTTGCACACGGGTAAAGAACTTGTGCGCTCATGGTAGGTAACCGTCTCACGATTCATTATCTGCTTGACTGTCAATCAGTACAGTTCAGGTTCTACTCGCTCTCTCGAGTTGTTCGCTATGTTCGTTGTGATCAGCGTTGTCAGTATTCCAGATTTATCTGGATTTTCCAGATTTTTAGTCGTCTTGCCAGATACACAGACAGACCACGTATATTTCTAGATTTTCCCAGATTTTTTAAACATGTTGCTTTAAAAATATCACTGCAATCGATTTACCCTCTAATACAAAGTAGAAGGGTCTGTGCCTAGGGGCACGAACGGAAGCTTGACGTAGGACCGCTAGTGGACGGAACAAATGTGAACATTTAGTTCTTTTAATTGATCAATCATCAATTATCTTAACTCTTTCCGTTTTTATTTGTAAGCGTATCAAATTTTTAGTATTTATTTCAAAGAGAAAGTTGATGAAGAGAATCCAAGGGACTGTCAACTTGAGTATTTTCGATTCATCTACCCGACTTTAAAGGTGTATTTTGATTTTTTTGTTATTTATGAATTTTTAAGTTTTATGCATTTTGGTATTAAAGTGTATTCAATTCACCCCTCACAGGATTTCCTTTCGAATTATATGAATGGGGCGGGGCGGAAAGTATCGTTTGTGCAGAATATGTAAAAAAGGAGGGACTTCGAGAGATTGAACTCGTGAGAGCTAATTTTCTCACAAATTTGATTTTATTGGCTTTCTGGGGACTGAATATACACCCAAAGCGAATTATTCCCACTTCTCTCAAATTCTATATGGATTTTTAACACTTCCTTCCAGCGTGTTCTGGAAAATGGTCGGACGATGATTAATCTCACCAATACATTCGGGCCTACAATTCCACACCTTCTATAGAGACCAGGTTGAGCCTTGATAGCTAGCTGCTTGCGGGAACTGATGACCTTGATAAATGTCCAAATAATACTCTTAACAAATTTATGGTGGTCCTGAAAAGGACCGTTTTGTAGTGATGGTTGAGTAATCTGAGCTGAGCACGACGAGCTACTGATTCCGATCCTAGCCTAGCGGTGGGACTTCTTCCTCCTTCTCTATGGTTACTCATATGAGCTCTGCAGCTCGCTGCTTGCAGGCAGCCTTTCGTTGTTGTTGTTGTTGAAAGCACTCCTGCTGCTGCTGCTGCACTGGACACCACCACATACGGTGATTGAATGAATGAGACCGCATCGAATTCGATTTTTAAGTCTGTGTTAGGGAATGCGCTGTTTTCAGACATTCGGTGATAATTTTGATCACCATTGCCACAGTTGGACATTTGGTATTTTTAAATAGTGACCTATTGAAAATTAACTAAGTGTTCATTTTAGCAGATTGGTAGTTAAATTTCCAATCGTTTGGCTTGTTTAGAATTAAAATCTATCTGCTATTGGTCGAAACCTGACCTCTTTTCGTAATGCTGTGCATTTAAGTTTTTTGAAATTGCGTGGATTCTATAGATCCTGTGGAGATCTATCAAGCCCTGATGTATGTGTTGGTAGAGGAAAAAATGTAAACTTTGCGGGAGAGGATGTCTTAACACTCGAAAGCAATTTTGTGAAATATGAAGTAAAACAAATCCTAGCTAGTTCTGTATGATGATTTTGTTTGATTTTATTTATTTTAAAGTCGCTGGGAAATACCAGCTGGCGATTTGTTTTTTATGATAACTCCTTACTTGAAAACAGGCAAAAACTCACAAACAGGCTGCTTTTTCATGGTATACAGTGCGATAATTCAATAATCAATAATTTATATCAACATTTAGTGGCAAACCATTCATAAATTTTGGTAACATACAAAAAATTCTATAATCCACATTAAATTTCATATGGAAGCGCCGATTGAAACAATCTTTTTGACGTCACTACAAGGGTGATTGATTAAACGAAAGAAACGAATCGTGCGGAATGAAAGCCGAGGAAAAACTAATTGCACCAATATATTCAGGCCTACAATTCCACACCTTCTATAGATAGGTTGAGCCTTGATAGCTAGCTGCTTGCGGGAACTGATGGCCTTAACCAATATCCAAATAATACTCTTAAACAAATTTTTGATGACACTGAAAAGGACCGTTTTGTAGTGATGGTTGAGTAATTCTGAGCTGGGTGTTCAACACGGATGAGGCTGTCGAGCTGTATGTATTTTGGAGCGAGGGTGACATGCTTGGCATAGATGACCGACCCGCAGCGACTCATGAAGAGCTACTGATTCCGATCCATAGCATAGCGGTGCAGCTTCTTCCTCCTTTGATGGTTACTTATGTGGGCTCTGCAGCTCGCTGCTTGCAGGCAGCTTTTCGTTGTTACTGGAGATCAATTTTCAATGCCACACGCCGAAAGAACTGCTACTGCTGCTACTAATTTCGACGACCGAACACCACCACACAGTGGTGTGGTCGTTGGGAGCGTGTGGTTCTGAGTATGGCGATGAGTGTGTAAAATATTACGCAATTCCATCCTCCCTATTCGCACGCGCCCGACGATCGGAGGCGAATGCCACTTCGACTTGTTTCGTCTACTTACTACTCTCTGACGACTGTGCTGGGGAAGCAGCATATGCATGTAGGTAATTGGTAGATTTGTTAGTTAATTCGACGCTTTTGGACAATGCTGGACATTTACCAGTTTTTCAATAGTTTCTTGTTGAAAATCAACATTCGGAAGCATTGTTATCGATGCGTAGCCATATTTCTGTTATTATTATTATTATTATTATTGTTATTATTATTGAAATTGGACCAAGGGCAGCTGAGTTATTAACGTTCAAAATCTTTCTTAATTTGTTACATGTTCCATTTTCGGTTTTCACAAAGTGTACCCCCATATATAAATCAAAGACGTAGTCCTACGTAAAAAAAATAAAAAGCCAAACTTGCTACTTTAATTATTAAAGGCCATCGGCCATCAACGTTGGACATTATTGGAATTTTAAGGTAATTCTGAAAATAGTTCACAGTTAAGTGTGAGGTGAATTCTTTGTGAAATCAAAGGAGAATTTCAAGCTACTTCTGAGTAGAATTACATCCATTTTTGTGGGCTTGGGGGTCGTGCGGTGTCACCCATCATTTAGGCGTATTGTGAGCAGTGATGCAAAATATCATGACACTTACGTGACACTCGTCTACGCATCAACCGACTATCGCTGAGAGAACGTTTTGTCACGTAGTGAGAGGTAGAGCCATGGCAAACAACAATCACCAGTAATGGTCGCTGCTCACAAGCAAAATGTTACACTCGCTGCTGATGATGAAAAACAGAACGAAAACATTGAAGACTTCTGAAGTACGATCATGAGAAAAAGCGAAACGACAGAAGAAAATGAAAACAATGCCTACGCATTCTAAGTCCGTCTCGGCAGGCGCGACTGTGTGAGTTACGAACAAAGCAGGCAACATTAAACGGAAGCTGTTGGGCTCACTCACCAACATACTCACATAAGCAAGCAAAGCTGCAACTGCTTCAAAACGAGCACAGATGAGTGTCGTGATTGTGATAGATCACAACCGAAGACGACATTCACCAGTTGCTTTGTACTTCTTTCTTCAACTTGATGGATGGTCATGGAGAGAGCTTCGACGAGCACATTGATAGGAATGTACAAATCGTTACTACCATCAGCTGTTTGATGATCGTGATTGTGATAGGTCGCAACTCTGATTGTGAGTGCCACGAAGTGACTATTCGATTCCCGCTCCAGCCGGTGCAAATTTTGGCAATCTGAAAATTTCCCTAGTGGATTTAACTCTATATTTAACTCCCTTCTAGTGTTAAATATTCTGTCTGTGCAACCTCTGGTTGAAGACGGTGTCAATTGTCTTGTCAACTCTGATGACAATTGCATGGAGATTTTGTCAATAAAGGAAATACAATCCGGAAGAGAAATCATAGAAAATTCTTATGATGATACCTAAGGAGTATGCAGATACGAATCGTGAGAATAATTTCAATGGAAATCTGCCCAATGATTCTATGGAGATTAATATTAATAAAATTTTAAGCGCAATTTCTGGGAGACTTTCAAACCCATTTTGACAAAGTACTTGAGTACTTAGGTAATACTGAAAATGATTTCAAAACAATTCTGACCTTACCTACAAAGCAGTTTAAAGGAAATTATCGGATATGCCTAAGAAGAGTGTGATGGTCATTCTGAAGAGTGTACCAAGGAAATTGTTAAGAATATTTTAAGAATTTCATAGAGAAAAATGGACACAAAATTGAGCCAATTCTTGGGAATTATTACCAATTTAAGGGAGTTGTGGGATTGGAGAGTTATTTATAAGAGACTACAAGAGGTAATGCTAAGAACTCTTAGAATGTTACTGGAAAAGTTTAGATATTTTCAAGATTATTTTAGGGGAATATAGAAAAGAAATATATTGTAATTCTAGGATGATTCGAATTGAACTAAAAAAAAGCGAAGATATCCTGTATAGAGTTCCAAGTAAATTCAGACTAACAAAACATTCATGATTTGGGACGCAGGAAAAATATAAATTCCGGAATTTAGAATCATTTCAAGATCCTGAGACTTCAAAAATGAAGCTATCATACTTTAATTTATGTAGGGGAAAAGTTGGCTTCGGCAATACCTTAACCTATTATCGTCAGGGGGTAAACAACGTCCTTGAGAGCTCAATTTTGGCATGTGGATACATTGTGTTTCAGAGTAACTATTGGCCAAATTTGAGTGCTCTA